AAAAAAGAAATAAAGAAGATAGAAAAAAAAGAAAAAAAAATAGAGAGAGAGAAAAGAAAGAATAGTAGTCGATATAATATTAGACAAGATACATGGGACTGCTAACTAGTAACACATGACTTTTTTTGTTTTAATAGAAGTAGGTAAAATCGCTAGAAATACATTAAAGCATAACAGTGACTATATTAATCATATTTCTTCTCTGCCTGACTCCTGCACAGTCGCGTAACATGCACACATGAACCATACACATTCTCTCGTTCTCCAAAGCATCCAGTATACATTAACAGTTATACATACACATCGAGCAGAATGGCAGCGATGCGCTATTGCGATCGTTAAGACTAGCTGAGGCCTGTACTAATGTGGACTGTGCCTGACAAAGAATTCGGAGCAGAAAGGGTCATCTTTTTTTTTTCTCTTCATCGTTTGAATAGAAGCATTTCTCACTAAACAAGGATATTCGCTATGTAAGCACAGTACAGGTAAAGGCCTCTATCCTCAACTTCAAATCTGTCATTCTTCCTTTCACCTTTCTCTCTCGTCACTTCTTCTTCTTCTTCTTCTTCTTCTTCTTCTTCTTCTTCATCTTCTCCTTTTTCTTCATCTTCATCTTCATCTTTTTCTTCTTTCACGTGTGTCCAGAAATTCAGTTCATTCAAAATATTCCCCACGTACGAGCCCACCATTCGCATTCGCTGCGAGGCACATATCAAATATTAATATCATGCTCACCACCGTGCGTACGCGACGAGAATATTCCAACGATTAACACGAGGATGCCCCGGCGTCGAGCACACCCTAAATACTTTCATACACGCCTCCCCTACGTACGCGACATCCACGAGGACGAGGGTAGCAATATACGTATTTAGCAAAACTATATTATAATATAACAATCGTAATAGTAATGCATGATCTCTCATACTAGTGGACAAGGGGCAACAAGTTTAAATTAAGAATTTACAGAAACATCCCCAAAGTTGTTCCTTCCTCTAATTTCGAGCACAAAACACCTCCTTTTACAACTAACAAATGAAGGATATCTTTACACCGTTTCTAAAATGTTTTCACGGGAGATATCCTTAATTTTCAATCTAGTACTTACACTAAACAGACGTTTTACCTAACAAGATTACTCTCTAAAAGAAACTGTTTCCTGGGAATTCGAGATGACCTATTCGGTAACAGGGAGTAATGAAATCATCGTTAAATTGAGCATGGTTCTCTCAGGATTTTCTCCACGGTGGTAACACTTCCAGTCACTTCAATAATTTCCACAACTTTGAGGGTGTCGCTGCATTACAAGAACGAATAAATTGAGAAAATAGAGAATAATATAGCTTGCTTGAAATTACGTTATTGATCGGTGTGAGGAGGGGTAGCTGAGTTGTCGGTACTTGCATGTAAAGGTTCCGCCGGCGGCGTACCGTCGTGAGAATTCCCTATATGCGGTGTGGCCGGTGTGGCTGGCTGAGACTGCGACGCCGGCTGCGGAGCGTATATCAGTCTGTAGCCGGCCGGCAGAAAGAAGCCGCCGTGCGGCGTGCAGCTGAACGTTTGGAAATTTGGTAACGTTTGGTTCTCGTGGTACTGGATGTAACCTCCGCTACCCGTCGAGCTCGATATCGGAATAGGCGTGACTAACGAGCCGGTAGAGGACACAGCGATATTCGTCCCGTCCGGCAATATAGGCGTGAACTGATACTGAGCTGAATTTATAATTGAATTATGCGTGGAGTCGTACGAGTCAGCGATATCACTTGTGTAACTACTAGACTGCTGGGGGGGCATGTTCTGCATAGTCTCGGAAGGCACTACTGGAATCGGAATAACGTAAGCGTGCGGTATTCCAGCCGTTGCCTGCTGCGGTTGAAGTTGCAAAGGAGTTTGCTTCAATTTTTGCATAGCTAACCGTAACGTCTCGTCGGTGTCTGGATAATTACTTGGAGCTTTTTGCAATGGAGTTTGAGGCGTTGTGTTAAACATTAAATAGTCCTCTGTATTTGGAAGTCTAGTTTGTCCTGTATTAAATAAAAAGCTCATCTTATTATAAGAACAATTATAATGATAGTGCCAGGGAGTGAGTCATGTGTTAGGTTAAGAACGGATGGGTTTAAGAAAATAACTGTTTACCAGCCAGGCTAGTCGCGACGGTATAAAGCACAGGGTGATGCTGATGGTGATGCTGATGGAGCGCGCTCGCTTTTAATTGCTGCTGCTGGATCAGCAGCTGCAACTGGTGTCGCTGGAAACGTTCCAGCTCCTCCCTGTGTCTTCTCTGCAATGTCTCCAATTCCATAGTTTGCCTTTGGAAAGAGAAAGATTCCCTCGAGAATAGTTTCAGGGTTTCCATGTTTTCATTGTTCAATAAACTTACTTTTTTATGAGTAACTGGTATTCTTCGCTTGGCGTTAACGTCCAAAATCTTTCGTCTTTTTCTGTTTGCTGGAAACAGTACACCAGTGTTGGAACTTCATTTAGATTTTAGATTCTAATATACTTGTCACTGAGACACTTACTTCCATTGTAGGACCACTGACAGCAGATTGGCTGGGTTGTGTAGGTGGAATAGAACCTTCGCGACTATGAATTATTTGTACCGATGTACCTAGAATTCACAGAAATTATTAACATTCAATTCTAACCTCTTATTCGTTGATTCTTAAAATCAAGCTCAACATTCCTACCCTGTGTGTCCTCCGCATGGTAAACCTTTGGATCCTCCGCGTATTGCTGTTGGTTCGGTGGTGCAGCGTTATTAGGAGGACCTGCGACCTTGGAAACCACGAACCTTGATATTTTTCTAACAGGTTGCGTTGTACTAACCTTCTATCAAAATCGTTCAGTTATTTTATGAATTTCTTTACGTCGTCGACGATTCTTTGTTTATTGATTTTCCGAAAGTGTCTACTAGCTATCTCGAATTTCGCTCGGACAAATGTGCTACATACCTCTGAGACGGTTTCTTGGCTCTCCGTTTGCACCGGGGTATTCGTGTCGGAGCGTGACGCAATCACGCTGGGGGTAACAGTGGCGACTGGTACGGTCGACACAGGCGGAACGGTGGTCAGTAAACTTTGAGCGGACTGTAACGATGATTGTATTTGAACGGAACTAACGGGAGGAGTCATGGGTTGCGGAGAAGCCGTCGAGAGGACCGAGCCTCTGTGATGGATCTTCGCTAACTCTTGCTCCAGCTCTTGGAGGCGAGATCCGGGCCTCTGCGCTCGGACCTTTATGCTTTCCTTGCTGGGGCTCATCGTTTCTGATCCTGTAGTACCTCCTCCTGGCGTTGGACTATCGAGGGAACAATCTACATGCTAAATATACAAGACAACTCTCATTACAGACATCAATCAAAGCTGGAACAAAAATTGGTTTCGTCATCATTAATGTTTGACTTACAGTTTGAGAAAGCGCAAGCTGGTGAATAGAGTTATCTTGAACTAAAGCTAAAGCCTCAACATTTGTCGTCACATTTGAGTCAGCCAAAGAAGCAGAAGACTGTATCGTTGTCTGAGGCGACAGAGGACCCTGCAAAGAATAGTTTCTATTAATTCTGGGAACGTACATTTCAATTGTTATTCATCTTTAGAATAGAATTTATACTTACTACGCCATGCGTAGTTGAAATTGGCATACCAATGTTAACCAACTTCTGCTGCAAAGAATTCATGTAAGCATCATAACCTCCAACTATTTGATGGTTATGAGGAGTAGCTGGATAACTTATAGGTGGTGTTCCTACGTTCAGTGCTTCGGATGGCTGACTCGTTAGCTGGACAAGCTTCTGATGAAGATCCGCTATCGTCTGTGGACCTGTTCCACCAGGACCACTCGTTCCAATAGCATCCGGGACTTTGTCCAGAGAATTTTGCTGACTTAACTTCCTATGTTGCTGCTGCTGTTGTTGTTGTTGCTGCTGCTGCTGTTGCTGCTGCTGTTGTAACATCTGGTTTTGTGTGAACAACGTTGAATCCACAGATTCAACTATAGTATGTTCAGGAGTCACATCGTGACTGGAATTCTCAGCTTCTGACAGTAGGTGGCATTCGGTGCTGATACGTCTGATGTTCAAGGAAAAGAAAATCTGTAGTGAAAGTACTGAGCAAGTGAATCTTTGTAAGAGTCTACATACCCAGTTAACGTAATTGTTTCTTGAGTGTCCATCTCTGACATCTTGGCTGGAAGCTGTTGCTCGGGGAGTTTCAAATGGAGTTGGGATTGATCCGTTTGAACGAAACATTCTACACTCTGTGTATCCTGTATGATTTGCTGTTGCACAGGAATGGTTTGCTGCAGTTGTGGCTGGGTCTGCTGCGGATGCCTCATTGGTATGGTCTGCTGTATGATGTTCTGATTCGTAGTGGCGATCCACTTCCCTTGCGACACAGTTGAGACTCCTTGAAAATTTTGTTGCGTAATCTGAAGCTGAGGATCTATTTGTTGAGTCGCGTTCAGCTGCATCGCCTGCTGCAGAGGCATCTGAGTTTGCTGAGACTGTTGAGTGACTTGAAACGTTTGCGTGATTCCTGCTTGCGGTATATTTGCTTGGTAATTGTGTTGCATCTGTGCCGGCACTTGCATCTGACTCGCTTCGGGTTGTATAGGTTGGAAATACTGTTCGGATTGAAGCGTAGGCTTGTAATCGATTACCGTAGCCGCTGCGACGTTGGCGGCTGGATTCTGTTCGTGACTGATCATACCATGAGGAGTCGCAGACTTTGATTTTGGATTGGAAAGTATGTTCGCTAAATTTTGCGCCAGATCTGGGAGTGTCGACGAGACCTCTTTCGTCTTGAGCATCACTTTAGGAGCGACTTCTGTGGGGACGACTTGTTGGACAGGAACTGAGACAGGCATGGGTGCATTCGTTGGGACGTTCATCACGTTCTGAGGAGCTGGCTGTAATTGTTGCTGCTGCTGCTGCTGCTGCTGATCTAACATAGTCTGTGGCATAGATGCAATATTCTGTCCTTCCTGAGGAATCACTTGCGCGTGCTGCACGTGGTGCATGGATGAACCAGGAACAAGCATGGACTGCTTCTTATCATCAGTGAGATTGACTATCTCCGACATCTGCGAATCCGTGGACATGTTCGAAGCTGTGGAAATGTTTGATATCCTACGGTTCCTCTCGTCCACAATTGTCGTTGGCTGCAACTGTTGGATGGGCCCGGAAAGAATCACGTACTGCTGAGGTGGGACTTGCTGAGAGTGGAACTGTTGTATCGGTCGCTGCGCCTGCATCTGCCCTTGGTGCTGAAGCTGTTCGGGTTGAATGTGCATTTGCGTCAGATTGTGCTGCACGGTGATCTGCTGCTGTTGCAGCAGGACGTTGCACGGCATAGGTTGACTCTGATACTGCCCCTGCAAGTTGACATTGTTGGGGGGAACTTGGGCCTGCAGATCCTTCTGAGTCGCGACCATGATGTTCTGAGCAGGCTGTATTTGTTGAGGTAACTGATGCGTGGCCGCTGACCCCGGCACGATCACATTGTGTGGACTAGATTGTATAGCGTTAACGTTCGGCTGAATCTGTGGCATGGGTGGCAATGCTTGTCCTTGTATAGTGCTTTGTATACCGATCTGCTGTCCGGACTGCATCTGAACAGCATCCACTTGCTCGACATACTGAGTATTTTGTAGAACAGTTTCGCTGGCTTTCTCAGAGACAATAGTTTGGGCTTCTAAATTTACTTCTAACTCGTCGTGTTTCACCTGTCCCTCATCCACCACGCTGGTCTGCGACACTAAAGTCGACTGTGTCGCTGAAACATTAGCTTTGTCAGCATTCTCTATAGCAGCTTCCTCCTCCTCGCTGGTAAGAACCTTCTGCTCGACCACTGGACTGACTAAGAAGCGAGAGATCTTCCTGATCGGAGGCGGCGCGGTCAAAGTGGCCACCTCTGTGGCTGTAGCGTCGATCTGCGTTTCCTTGACTGTCTCTTTCTCCTGGAAATCAATCGTGTCCTGAACCACAGACTCCTTTCCCATTTCAATCGACTGATTCCCAACCATGTCGTGTGCCGAACTCTGAGTGTACGCGGACTGATAGAATTTGTCCTCCTTGGACATGCTGTGCTCCAGACCTGCCTCTGCATTTGGTACCGTGACTACCGTCTCTTGAGTGTCAGTTGGATCACTGGGTAGATTAGTTGGAGTCAGAGTGTCCGTGTTCTGCGTGGAGGTGGACGAACGTCTGGATGCTTCAGCCGACGTGTTCTCCAGACCCACTTGGCTGTCGGGTGTTTGCACGCTTTGCTGCTTCTCGGTGGTAGCGCCGGTGATGTGAGAAATAATCTGATCGATCGGCAGTAATTTCGTTGGTGTAGAGGTGTTGGAGGTTTCGTCTCTCTGCAAGTATACGATGCAGAATTATTTAGATGAATATTCAACGTCTACCGTAAAACAATATAAAATAAATGAAACATTTAACCCTTCATCTCCTGAGTTACACTCCTAATCTCTCCATTGTTATTATTTGAGGACATTCAAATAATACTACTCTACGTTTTTTATGGTTTAGAGATACAAAATTACATTATTCGAAGTTTCTATGGAACTCTGTGGGATACATATCATCTCGATTAGTATACGTATCACTAATTAGTATGTCTACTGGGGATTACGGATATGTTCCTGAAACGCCTACAAATTAGAAATATAAAATCAACATGTACGTACATAAAAGAAAGCATAGAGAACGGCCCGCTATAAATATATTCGATTAAGAGCTGCCTACGTGATGGAGTTTATTAAACACAGGAAAAAAGTGTTGCACGATATCAGTGTCGCCTTAAAAAGATACACAAACGTCCGAACATAATGTATATGTATGCCGTGAATTAAAAAAGGATGTACAAACGTCCACGACTGCGTGACGAGATATGGGAGGCAGGAAATGGTTTTCGCCGGGGTCGATGAACTCACCGAACGGTGTCTACGATGGATTTTGTACGACGATCGGTGGCTGCTCTGACGAGTTAGCGAGCCATGTCTCACCTGCTGCGTCCAAAACGATACACACCAATTATATGCACACCCTTGTTTCTTTCTATTTTCTTAATGGGATTATGCGAGACGCGTGTAGCGTTCACAAATCACTAGCAACTAACGTTTTCCTGAAATAACGAACCTGCGAGTTCATTGCTTCAGAAAAGGAACTCTCAGATGCTCACTGAAACTCCATAATGCGTATGGACTTTTGTGTATCAGGTCCTTAATCACTAGTTAACATTGTATCTCTTAGTTGCAGAAATTTAAGTTCCAACATATTCGTAGAATCAAGAAGACAGAGAGTGAATGAAAAGGAAACTGTTACCTTTGCTGTATCAAGACTGTGGTCACGATCTCTAGGTCGACGACTCGTAACTGGGCTACCACCGGCTGACTGGTCCGGAGGACCATGTGCTACCAAGGGCAGAGCTCGCGTGGGATCCAGACGTAGTTGTTTAACGATATCCTCTATCAGCTCGACGAACGTTTCACACTGAGACTGAGGCAACAGGTTTTCAGCTACCTGTGCACCAAAGTAAAACACTGTCACCTTCTGCCTTGGAACATTTTGTCAATTCTAGGTGTACTGCTCTCTTACCAGGTTGTTAGCAATGTCAGTAGGCACCATGTCGTCTCTGTCGAATTTGAACGTCACCGTTTTCTGCTTGCTCGTGTCCAGCTGACATTCAACAGTAACCGACTGACCCTCGCCACTGCTCACTGATAGGACAGTCAGTTTGATACCAGGCTTCTTCCGCTTTGTACCAGATCTCTTCACTCTGCTTCTCTCTGAGGAGACGTTCTCGGAGGTCTCTTGAGTTAACCTATAAAGAGAAACCATAACCCAGATTTCACATGAAAGATCTCAATGATTCCTATTATTCAATTCGTGGCATACCCTTCACTTGGTCCTGTGGTCTGACACATAGCGTTGGTCAAACTGGACCCAGTCACTTGGTCTTGAATGCTGGAAGGCATGTCCGCTGGCAGGGACTGCACAGAATCCATGGTGTCTTGCTTAGGCAGGGAAGATCGTTCCGTTGTGATCTGCTCTGTATTGGAAACGAAATGCTGGTGCTGCGAGGTCGTCGTTGACTGTACGGGGATTCCAGATGACATGGACACAGAGGTGGGCACGTTGGTGGGCTGCGAATATTGCATTTGCACGAGGACATTCTGCTGAGGCTGCGACTGGTGTCCGCCGTTAGGAAGGATGGCAGGCGCTGGTTGCATGGTTGGCATGGTAGCAGTTGCTGCACTTTGTATGAGAGTAGCCGAGGATGAGCTTTGAATGTTGATACTTGATGGTACAGAGGCTGGAACCTGTCCGGACTGTTGTATGTAAGGCTGCGAGGTTGGCGGGGCCGTGCTGCCCGGGATGCTTGTGTGAGAGTAGATTTGGGCGGTGGGCTGGTTCGACGGTATCATCTCCACGTGACTAGGTGGATTGGAGCTGGTGTACGAATGATACATCTGTTGAGACAGATTCTGCTGATAGATGGGCTGCGTGTTGTAGCCTGCGGTTCCTGTGGCACTCTGCTGGTAGAACTGTTGGTTTTGAACCGGCTGGGAGGTCACCGAATGCTGGTGCACTTGTTGCACTTGTTGCACATGCTGCACCTGTGGTTGAGAGTATTGCACTTGTTGGGTCTGCTGCATCTGTTGATGCACGTGTTGTTGCTGGGACAGGATCTGAATTTGCGGTTGTATCTGCGGCTGAATTTGAGGCTGTATCTGCGGTTGTATCTGCGGCTGCATTTGGTGGCTGATCTGCTGGGGTACGTTCATCTGATTCAACTGTATGTACTGCTGCTGTTGCTGGTGCATGTGTTGTTGCTGCTGCATCTGCTGAGTCACTTGAGGGAACTGTGGCTGAGTCTGAACAGTTTGAGGCGTGGAGCATTGAGAAGAAGTAGGATTTATATTCTGCGAGACGTGCTGCGGGTACGGTTGTTGCTGTTGCTGGTACTGCTGCTGTAACTGTTGCTGGTACTGTTGCTGCTGGTACTGAACCTGTTGGGGAACTTGAGGGACCTGTTGCATTTGCTGTGCCTGCTGGGGTTGAACGACCGACGTCTGTTGCTGCATCAACGGTTGTTGCTGGACCAACTGAACCGGCTGCGGTTGCAAGCTGTGTTGCTGGGACTGCGGCGCGGTAGGCTGCATCTGCTGCTGCGATTGAAGTGGTATTTGGTTCTGTTGTAACTGCATTTGTACTTGACTCTGGATCTGAATGCCCATGTTGGATTGTATCTGCTGCTGCTGCTGTTGCAGCTGCATCTGCTGGAGCAACAGCTGTTGCTGCAGTAAATTCTCGTTGGTAGTGGTGCTGTCCGCTTCTCTGTCCAGACGTTCCTTCTCTTCTTTGGCTTTGCGCTCTTCCCTCTCGCGTAACAATGCGGTGATCTGCGACTTTAACATCTTCGCGACAGCCTTCACGTCTTCCTCCAGTATCAGGCTGGACTTAGCCATCTCAGAAGCCACCTCCTCCGCGTTGTCGGCTTGAATGTCGAAGTCGAACTGTATCGCCTCGTTCTCCTTGTGCTTGTTGGTACGCTTCTTCGGGTCCAACACTCGCAGTCTAAACTCAACGCGCGACAACTCCGCGTCCGCCACCGCAGAGTCTCGCGAGACCATTTCCAATTTCAGTCCAACGTCGTCCGCGAAGAACTCGTGGTTCAGAAGATCTTTAACTAACGGTCGCTCTTCTTTCTTCAGTCGGATGCACATTTCTATGATCTCTCGGACTTCTGGGTTTTCCACCTTGTCGTAACTTTGCGGCTTCACTCCCTACAGTGGAAACATTAATTAATATCAACAGATCCTTTACAGCATTGAGAAAAAGTTCAATTATATGTCAACACGTTGAGTGCTACGTCAGTCCCTAGACTGACAGCGAACTTCTCGTTTGGTCAGCATTTTAAAGGGTTAAATTATGAATGACAATGAAAAAATTTATGTTAAAATTTAGCGTACTCCTGTTTTTCAGACAGACAAAGGAAACAGTGAAAAAAGGGAATCGTCTGTTAACACTCAACGCGTTAACGTAGAACGTGTCTTACCGATACTACACGCTTGTATATCTGCGCCGGTCCAGTACACTCGGAATACGGATACTCGCTGGTTGCCATTTCGAGCATACACATTCCGAACGCATACACGTCAACGGATTCATCGTAATGCTCCTCGTACATTTCCGGCGCCATGAACTCGGGCGTGCCGATCACGCTCTTCGCGAAACTTCGATTCTTCAGAGTGGCGAGACCTAAATCGCCAATTTTCACGCTCCCCGTTGTACCAGTAATAAAAATATTGTCACACTTCAGATCACGGTGAATAATCGGTGGCGCTCTTGAATGTAAAAAGCTAAGGCCCTTCAAAATTTGCCTACACCAAGACTTCACTACCTTCGGATTAATTTTTTTAAAACGTCTTAGGTATCTGGATGGAATATTATTTGTTAAAATGATATATGTATATGTATGTATATATATATATATATATATATATATATATATGTATGCATGGAAAGTTATTGGATAGAAAAATATAATTACTCACGTCTTCAATGTTCCTGAAGTCATAAGTTCAGTGACTAGTACAATGTATTTCCTACGCGTAAGTGTAACTTCCCAATAATCATAAAATCTAACAATATTTGGATGTTGCAATCCTTTCAACATTTCTGCTTCCTCCCTAAATCTCAGTCTTTCTGTCTTGTTTAACTTTTTCTCCTAAATAGAAAGAGTACACAAATGAGTCTTTGAAAAAAATGTTAAAAGTGGATTAACACTGTGTCAATGTTAATGTTATATATATTTAATCCCATTTCTAATTTTACCTGTAGTTCGCACCAAGCAACAGCTACACCAGTTTGAGTATCCAAACCCCTATATACAGTCTTAAAGCTGCCTCTACCGATTTCCTCTTCGAATTTCAAGAACCTACCGTCCGGCGATATACCTATAGCCTTCTCTTCGTCGTCATCGTCCTCTACAGTCTGAACTTTCACTTTCATCAACAAATTCCGAACCTCCTCCATGGCCATAGTTTTCTGCGACAGCTTCTCGTCCGCTTTGAAATTTTCGTCGAGCAAAGGACCAATGAAACCCTCGACCGTCTCCTCCTGCGCGACATCCTTTTGGGAATCCTTCTCCGTTTTAATTTCGTCCTCGATATTCGTGGTTTTAACGTTCTCCATATCGGTGTCCAAAGGTGGTACTTTCCCTAATTTACTCAGAGATTCATGAAGTGCTTGTGCGGCAACAATATCACTGATACTGGTGCCATTGTCATCTTCGTCATATATTGTCACTTCTCCCTCTTCTTCCTCTCTTTGCGCCTCCATATCTTTTCCCTCGGTTTCCACTATCTCCTCTGATACTTTCGACGTCACAAACCTCGAACTTTTTACCACTTCCTCGTTCTCTTGCTGCGTCTTCTTTCCTTCCTCGGCTGTGTCTTCTTCGCAATCTTTAGTCACACCCTCGCTCTCCGCCATGCTGATAGAAGACTTTAACGTGTCGGCGGACGTTCTCCGTTTCACATCATCGTTACTTTTACTATTACCTGTTGAATTTGTGGACGTTTCCATGGACGAATCTATACTTTTCTCTATATTCGCTTCTTTCGAGCTCTTACTACCTCGCTGTTCAATTAGCTTTTCTGTAACATACTTACTTTTAGATTTGACAGTTCTGCTCTCGCTACTACTGCATCGCGTGCTTATGGAAGATGTAGAGAATACTTTTTGTTTACTTTGTGTAATCGTTTCTTCATCGATGCCGGTCGCCGATATCTTTCTCGCGGTGTTAGGAGTTTTAGACGACTCGGAACATTCTGCGACCGTCACTCTTTGCTCGCTAGTGTCTAATGATACTTTCTTGTCTGACGCGCTCTGCGACGCAGCGCCTTCTTCACTGATGCTACATTCCACGCTCGTCTCATCTTCGTCCGATTTTTTCGACTTCACTCGACTAATCGGCGTTGAAGGCGTAGAACTAGATCCTGTATAGATTTAAAACAATCCTGTCAATGCACGCTCAGAGAGATTTACGTGAATTCGAAAATTAATGGAACCGCGTAACACCTGGGACGTTGAACACATTTTCTGTCGCTGTGATAGCTTCCTCTGCGTCGCTGAAACTGCGCTCATTTTCATTGTCTAAAGATGGCGAATTGAGATTCCGTGAAGACGATTTTTCAGAGATACGTAGAGCGGATAGAACTTTCTTTTTAGAAGCAGGTGAATTGCTCGCAACTCCGTTGGTTGTTATAGATAATGAGTCTGTACTGTGATCAGTCCTCTGCGCTCGTACTTGTTTCTTGCAAATTGTTGTTGAGGAACGACTTATACTTGATGTCTGGAGGGGTCACAGGTAATCAATAGTGTTTTATATAAATACTTTTCCCATGTACATTCAAAAGTTGAAAGTCACACAGTATCGAATATATTGAACAGAGAAATATATTGCAAGCAACTTCAAACTTTCGAACAATTTCAATTACTATTAGACTGTGAACACAAACCTTCCGATCTCCGGAATTATGAGAGCTAGTACCAGCTTGTGAAACAGTAGACAATTTTCTTTGGCGTTTGTGATTATGTGTGTGATTATGGATTCTCTGAGTGGTAACAACCGCACATGGGCCTCCAGTTTCCTGAGAGGCTAAGTGGCCCACTGCCAAACTGATTCCACCCTGGTTACTACCGCCTCCACTGGCCACCAGCTTCGGACATAAACTTTGCAGGCCACTTCCGCCTGAAGATCTTTGTCTATTTGTCTCATACCTAGAACATCATTAAAAGCACTATGTAACTATAATGATATTTATAGATGAACATGATCTTTGAATAGAAAGTTTTTTTTAATGTTACTTTTATATAATATCGATTTTACTTCTTCCATATTCTTTATATGGAATAATTAATCTATGTATTCACGGTATGGCAATATTTTAAAGAGACAAGCATAAGTATAGTAAGAAAAAGAATAAACTTATTTCTAATTCTTACTGGATGACAATGCTACTAAAAAAAGCAAATTAAAATAGTGTTTAATATCTTAAAGAATAGCTTAATGAAACCATTTTAATAAATATGAAAAAAAAGATTAAAGAAGTGTTATACACACGCTCATGTGTTTTGCCCTCGAATGCTTTTTCTTACGTGAATGTGTATAGCAATAAATATAAAGTACTAATTGGGTTTTTAGTCTCATCGGTACTAAATGCACGTGTCAAGATTAAAGTCATGTTACATTACATAATGCCAAAATGTTGTGAATGATACATTGAATTACTGCTGAATCTCACGAGAAGATGAGATATGCGAAACATTTAAGTATCATTTATACAAATAACGAAAGTAAATTAAAAACACATAATAATATGAAGATGAAGCAATTTCCATAAATTGGAAGCCAAAGGTAATGTAAGTGGATGTATTACTCTATTAATGAAGTATTATTTTTTTTTCTTTGATATTTCAAAGGTGATGAGTGCTAACTGAATAGTTTTATACTGCAGCATAAGTCATTTACATCATATATCTACTAACCTTTGAATTTATACAAAATTTCATACTTCAAGATGAGGCTCAGTAATTCTGAAAATACATATTTGAATTCACATTTTCAAGTTTAGAATAAAATTTTCATTATTATAATTTTTTTTGGCTTTATGTACAAATTTTCAACATGAATCGGATTATCTGATTAATTACTTGAAGTGAAACCTATGGTTTCTAAAAATATTCGTGATGTTTTAAACTATGTAACGTTTCAAGTATAATCTATGTATAATCTATGTTAAACATAAGTGAAAAGTACGGATGAGATGCACATAAATTCATGTGTACATGTACCTTTGTTTAATATATTTAAATGTACTTTCATTGAAATAATGCAATAGTCAGAGATAATCTTAAGGTACATATGAATTAACTGTATAAAATGTATCATACTTAAATAAGAAGCAAAAAATTAAGTACAGCAAAGAATTTAAATGGCAGAAGGTAAAACATGACAATGTAAGAAGCATGATTTTGATACAGACATCATTATACCTGTCCTGCCTGCTGTGGCCAGATGAGAGTAACCCGCGCACTGTGTTGCCTATAGCTGCTCTCTTTTTAGATTCTCTGTCCTTTTCTCTGTACCCACCAGACCCAGTGCTCACCTGATGATCTTGACGAGTACTTCTATCCCCCTAAAATCATTGCATTAGTATTACAACTAAGAATTGCACGACAGTAATATCTTTTATGTGTACAAATCAATATGCATGGCAAAAATGGAAATCTAAATCTTAAGAAAATTCACCTTGATGGTTAAAAATTTTATACTCAAATTGGTACTTGTATTTGTTGGAACTGGACTTAGATCGCACCGTACTCTTCTATGTGATTTTTCAACAATTGGTGGATCGTCATCTAATTCTAATTGATTTCCAATTGAAAAAGGACGAGTTTGTGTTAACAAAATATCCTCTGTATTGTGCTTCTGACTGGTGCTCACCGAACTCACTGCCTTGTTTTCATTGCAGCATCTCGGCATTGCACATAACCAACTTATGAAAGAGTTCACTTTATAAAATTTCTTTTCACTTATTAAGTTATCTTCTTCCTCCCCCTTTATCAATTCAATTTATATAGAAATTTTATGGAAACTTTTATTATCATATTATTTTTCATGAAAACAGTTCATAGCGTATTTCCTTCTTTTTTAATTAAAATTATTTCTCAAACTATAAAATACTGGATGTATTTATAGTGTAAAGAATTTACGATTCTTATGTTCATCACAGATTTTTTCCTTTTTTGTTTGGTGTATATACTCTGCTACCTCAAATTCTCAATAAATAATTAATACCAA